TGCATGAGACGCAGGTATGAGCGAGCTTGTTATTCTTTCGTAGCTCTGATACCACTCGGACTGAAGGCAGTACCCTCGATGCACTCCCGAATCAATGCAATGCGATGCACTCTCGAGTATTCTGGCACTAAATGCATGAGATGCAGGTATGAGCGAGCTTGTTATTCTTTCGTAGCTCTGATACCACTCGGACTGAAGGCAGTACCCTCGATGCACTCCCGAATCAATGCAATGCGATGCACTCTCGAGTATTCTGGCACTAAATGCATGAGACGCAGGTATGAGCTAGCTTGTTATTCTTTCGTAGCTCTGATACCACTCGGACTGAAGGCAGTACCCTCGATGCACTCCCGAATCAATGCAATGCAATGCAATGTGATGCGATGCGATGCACTCTTGAGTATTCTGGCACAAAATGCATGAGACGCAGGTATGGAGACAAATTAGCATGAGAAATTAAGGTTCTCTATTTCTTGTAACTACCTCAACTAGATCGTCACTTGTGTCTTTCCTTGTTTACATCCTCCTCGTAATTTCAATACCTCAAGAACTCAATTTATCCACAAAATCTAGCAATTTCATTAATCATTTGCAATGAGAATTGTCAGTGATTGATTCAAAATGTACATTCTTTGATTCTTTGGGGTGATCTCTATGATTTTCTCATATTTTTGGTTGTGCAGATGTGTATTTGATCGAAAATGCAAATTGGAAGGAGATAAATAAATTTTATTTTCTCATAAAGCACCTCACTCCAATCACAGAATACATAGTTAGACTTCAATTTTTGAAAGAAATGGATCGATCCATTTATTTAGCTCAAGAAATGCATGTCAAATATCATGATTTCTGATATGAAGGTGATTAATATGAGGAAGTCATAGGATAAGATATGTTGCTTATAGTACATGTGGAATGAAATGATAGTATGAACATAGAAAGTTTATGAATTGGGATATATATATATATATATATATATATATATATATATATATATATATATATATATATATATATATATATATATATAAGTTTACGTCCCACACGTTGACATTGATAATGAGAACAGAGCGTTGCTCTACCTCACTATTGTGGTTTTCCAGCTCTGCCTCTCAGGCTGAGAAGGTTCGCTTATTCCGGCATCCTCCTCCTCGTCCCCTTCCTCGCCGATTGCCTTCTCCACCGCTACATCCTTCGTCCTCTTCCACAACCCCCGGCCTTTGAGGAGCTCCACCGCTTCCTTCATGGTGGGCCGGTTGTCGGGGTTGAGGTCGGTGCACCGCAAGGCGACCGCCACCGCGTTCCGCAGCTCCGCCGGCTCGAACCTTTCCCCGAGGCGTGGGTCCGCGATGCGCTCCCACGCGCCCTTCTCCACCAGCGGCGCCGCCCACTGCACTATGTCGCGCTTGACGCCGCCGGGTAGCTTCTCGATGGGCTTCCTGGCGCTCACGATCTCCAGCAGCAGAACGCCGAAGCTGTACACGTCGCAGCTCTCGGCGACTTTCCCCCACATGGCGTACTCAGGTGCGAGGTAGCCCAGCGTCCCCTTCACCCTCGTCGTCAGGTGGCTCACTCCCTCCGGGATCAGCTTCGCGAACCCGAAGTCGGCCACTTTGGCGCAGAAGTCGGCGTCGAGCAGCACGTTGCTGGTCTTCACGTCTCGGTGTATGATGTGAGGGCTCGCCTCATGGTGCAAGTACCTGAAACAGGTCGGGAGGGCATTGAATCAAACACCTGGCAACGATGGTAACATCATGAACCCGACTCAACTCACGCGAGTCCTTCCGCTGCTCCGATGGCGATCTGCATCCTGCGAGGCCAGTCGAGGAGCAGATCGGCGGAGCGACGGCCATGGAGATGGCTGAGCAGGCTGTGGTTGGGCATGTAATCGTAAACGATCAGCCTCTCCTCGCCACCTGCGTAGAAACCTCTCAGGCTCAGTAGATTCTTGTGCCTTACCCTCCCCAGCACCTCCACTTCGACGGCGAACTCCATCTCCGCCTTGGCCGTCATGGCCTTGAGCCGCTTCACAGCGATCTACACGACAGCAACAAGTCACTCCATGACAGAGAGACTCTTATGTATGATGAGTAGTGACTTGCCTCCACTCCTTTGTCAGTTCTACCCCAGTAGACAGTCCCAAAGCCGCCTTCTCCGAGCTTGTTGTCCTCATGGAAGTTCCTCGTTGCATGGACGAGCTGTTTCAGGGTGTAGATTTCCCAAGGATAGCCGCCGCCACCATGGCCCTTGTGTGATCTGAACAAATACTAGTTGTGATCACAACTCAAGAAGAAGTTGAAACAGTAGTATGCATGCAGGAGCAGGACCATACGATACCTTCGTGCAGCCTCACGCCCCTCGAGGGAGAAGCAGCAGCAGATGCATCTCTGAAGCATCCCTATCCGAGTAGTGAAAGAGAGAAAGGTCAATGGTGCTTGGAACTCGAGGAAGTAGACGGAGTAGAACAAAGAGCTAAAACTGGTGGGTAGCTGTCCTTGTTCTTGGGTGTCATTGAACACTTCACCCACTCAATTGTTTGCACCTCTGGATCATATAATTTAACTCAGGTACTGCAGCATATGCTTTGATTGTTTAATGGATTTGTGGAGGTTGGTTGTCACAACCACAATCACTGAAAACTTATGGAATGAGTCGACTATAGTTGATGCTGATATGGCTGGCTTATTGTGATCCAACACTGACAAAGGTAGAAGAACAAGACTAACAACACCAGAAAAAAGAATTCTTGATTGCTGCTGTGTTTAGGGTTTCAGACATTGGAAAGGTCAGAGGTCATTTTTTATATCATGATATCTCAACTAAATGGAATGAGAACTATAAAGATGATGTATTAGTTTTGTGGCGTAAGAATCATTTGTAGCACAGATTCCATCAGTCATTTCCTTGCTTCGCTTGTCGCTTTTGGGATGCTTAAATCTTTAGAAAACAATGCATGACATGAGAAAAATTTTCAGTGTCAACGCCATGCCAAAAGTTTGCAGTGAAAGAGAGGAATTCTGAGAAAGATTTGATCATTCTGATAGAGTTGTGTATATATAATATGGCTTAATAGATTATATTTAGGCAGAAATAATTCTACTCAAACATCAACCTTTGCCTCGAGAGACCGACCGTCCCTCCTGAGTTCTCTGTATATTTCAACAATACCTAGCAAATTAGTTGCATTATCTACCAAAAATAAAGACGAGTTTGAGGCCGAAAGCATATCATTGATGTGGAACTATGAATCCACATATCAGTCAGATCCCTATTATATTATATTATATTATATTATATTATATTATATTAGGATGACAACTAAACACGGACAGGATGTCTATATTGATAGGACAGTCTATTAGATAGAATGACTCACATTATTATTCCCAACATTAACCATTGTCTCCATTCAACGACGATCATCCCGACACACTAAACCCCCCCCCCCCTCAGGTGCATCCTTGAAATGGGTTGAGATATTTTAATTTTATTACTTTCCGAATGATCCAAATCCTTCTCTTTGGCATATCCCAACAAAGTTTTGTAGGGTTGTCTTACATTCTCAACACCTCTATCTATTACATTCTCTTTGGCATATCCCAACAATGTTGCACAACCAAAATAAAATTTAACAATACAGATGTCCAATCTTGAGAACCTTAAATTGTGAAAGTGTGAGAAAATTTTATTTGGGGCTACATATTTTAGATAAATGACTTGAGCCTGAAACACAGTTAGATTGATTTACTGCTCTGTGGACAATGTGTTTGAACAGGCAGATCTGATCATAACAATGTGTCCAACACAGAATGTTATCTGAGCATATAGGACATGCAATTTACTTGTAATACGTTCTCTGACCATGGAGGACTTAGTTAACCTAATATGCTTTGAATATTGATAGATGCACAGCAAATGTATCAGAGGACTATCCAACCAAGTACTCGATGCATTTGATATTTACCACGAGATATAACGAGTGCACCAGCAGATATGAATACTGCTAATATTGGCCCCTATAACAGCTATTAGCAATGGCCAAACAAATATGCAGCTAGCAAGCAGCCAGGCATTTGAATTTTTACAACAAAATTATTCTAGAAACAAAGTTACAGATTCAAACTGATATTGCCAACAACAGAGAGGAACACACATCAAGAAAAACCCACTTCTTTTCTTTGTTTCTTGTTGGTCATAAGATGTGTGGGTTGGGGTCGAGATCTTACTTGGGTCACCTGCGGTGTGGATACAATATGTTGTCAACACTTTCTTTGATGTAATTGCCGACTCTGTTCAGGTTCTTAGCGACACCTGAAGCCACCAGCCCAGCATTCTTTCTAAACCTGCATGGAGATAAACCTCTAGCATTTCTTTACTCTTAATCACATTGAGGAAAACGTAGGAACAGAATTAAAACCATATGCTTTCCTGTTTGACAATTCATCCCCTGAAGGGTGAGCTGATCGGTGTGCTCGTGGTTGTGAATGGTGTAGCATCTATAGCAATACCAAACAACAGATCAGAATGACAAAAGTTTAAGAAAAAAGAACCAAAAACACTGAAGAAACCAAACTTCTGATGAACAAGCAATACTAATAGCTTTTCTCATGGCACAGAAATTATATGAAGTATATGAATGAAAACAATTTGTTGCACAACTATTTGGAATGCTGCATGGATCTTTTACTGTTGTCGAGATTTTTTTGATAAACATGCAAATTCACTACAAAAATAATATATGATGCATTACAAGGTTTAATCATATGCAGACTGACAATCACCAAGTTAGATTAATTGACAACTAGATATGGAATTAGACAAACAATTGAAATGAGTTCTTGCATTTCAGTAGGCATAAAACAGTCTATCATACTCATAGTATGAATCAGAACAATTGAAAACAGGATCATTAACCGGTCCGATTCACTTATTGGATCGGTTATGTTAAAAACCAGAATGAAACAGTTGAACCAACTGGTTCTCAGATGACTTGCACGAACCGGTCAAGTTCAATAAAACCCATCCAGTTTTGTAATATAGCTTATATTACTTAATTTAAAATTTTCTTAAAATTAGATTTAGAGGATATTTACGTCAATTATAAATTGGATTAAGGTGAGAAAGAAAACAACCTTTTCTCCTCTCCCTGCCCTCTCTTCCTTCAACCACCTCTCCCCTCCGCCCTCATCTCCTTCCATTACTATCCTCTCTACCCTTCTCCTGCCCCTTTTTTATGTCTTTTTGTATTTTCAATTCGTTTTTTTTTTCCTTTGATAATTTATGGTTCACTCTTCTCATGATCACTCTTGCTCTTGTTTCTATTGGTCATCTTCCCGTTGTCATCTTTTCTCGTACTTCATTTTATTGACATAAATTTCAATTTAACTTTCATCATACATATTATGTTATATCCATATAAAAATTCTTAAGTAATTGGATTACATATTCACTTTTTAACTTTTTAAATATTTTCACATATTATTTAATTTTGATAAAGTTCTATGTTCTTAATGTTAATAGTTTTATCATATTCTATACAACTGAAGTTTTGTTTTCATTTGTATAAGATTGTTCAAGTTTTATTAGTTTTGGCATATTAGATTTTTACTATATATAATTTAGAACTATTATATATACTTAAAAAATATTTTTCAATTAAACGTATGGTCCAACCAATTGAAACCCTCGGTCCTACCGGTGACCCATGACTTGGCTTCGGATAAGTATGGTCATACTTGATACTTCATGGCATGCTCAGTTAGAAACCTCAGATCACATGAAAAATCACATTTATAGCCAAAGGAGCAACCTGCAATGATGCATCTCTCCATCCAGATTTTATCCCCTCGAGACGGATGGCCAATCTCATCCTTGTCAAAACCTTCAAAGTGCAAGTGTGTTTGCATCTCTTCACAAGATTATTTATTACTCCCAAAGCCTCCTCACAAAGCCCAGAATTAATTCTGGATGCTAATCATACACCCAAAATATCCAAAACAGTACTAGGTAATGCATATATCACAATAACTGACTCTATTCAGTTTTTGAACTCAAACTGTCATAATTTTATGACCAAATTATTAAATTACAACTATGTGACAAGAAGTCTTGAGAAACCTCTTGAATACATTTGAGTTATTGGAGTGCCTTATCAGAATGATAAGAGCCAGATACAACTTGACAATAATAACAGATAAATACTGCAGGGCCAATATTAAGAAGAAAGCAATGATAAGTCAAACCACTTCCCAAGATTATCAATATTGACTAAAGAATGCAAGGAATTCTCGGTAATGACATTTGAGAATCTGATGTGAGAAGACTCATTGCACACACTATAAGTTGGTCCATAATGAACAAAATTTTCAGTGTCACAACTACCAAAGTCAATGCATTTTCAATGATTTTGTAATCAAATAAAGATCAAAAAACAGAATTCCATCTAACAATTTCTAAATCTGGTTCGACTTCTACACTCTGGCTCATTTTTTATGGTACCATAAGACAATGGTAATATTATTATCAATTTTGTTTCTTCTGGTCCAAATGGTGCTTTGAGGAAATTGCTGGTCCAAATTCCAATTTAAAGCATTATCTGCAAGCAAAACAAATTACCATACTGATCTTAGATATTATCTTTATCTAACTATCTAGAAACTTGACATATTATTCAGCTCCATTTTCCCTACATCTAGCTCCTCCAAAGGAACAAATTTCTTACAAAAAACTTCTCATCCACCACTTCAATCATCATTGAAAGATTCTTGTTGTTTAAAAGACTGCCCCTTCCACATTATCCAACTTATCCACCCTAGCACTAGAAAATATTGGAATTTCAAAAATCAAGCAGAAGCAAAGTCACATGTTGCTAAACCTAACTATGTAACCGAATTAAAAGCTATGCAAGGTTATCATGAAATCTGCACTATGATCCATTGTAACAAGTGATAGACAACTTAATATTCATCTTATATTTTCAAATAAACTTCCACAAAATCTTTCTATGGTTCCGTTACCTTCCTTATGAACATTTGCAGGAACATGACCAGCAGTTGACGCTCTTCTGTCCACTAATAGCTGCAATAAATATCATTCGGATGTTAGAGAAGTGACAATGAATCTAGTTTGTAGCAATCTTGGACACTGAAGGTTTTCAGCTATTACAAAAGTAAAGCACACATATAGTACATACATGTTTTGAACATGTATACTGAATCCCAGAACTGAGAAAAATTACATGTTTTTACACAAAAGGTTCTCCTTCCCACTTCTTGCTGCTCTTTTTCTCCATCTCAGTTAGATACAAAGGTAAAATGCAAAACTAAATATCTCAAACATGAACAATATGAAGCAAAGCATATTTCATTTTAACAGAAGACTCAACTAGATGATTTCATGCAACATCTGCTGTTTATTGACTTCTCCAATCTCCTGATTGTGACTTGAATGACATATTTTAAACATTCATGACTAATGATATTTTTATTAGAATTTGAACCAAAGTTCAACTTAAAGCTAGGGTCAAATCCAACTACCAAAACACGAATGAAATTCTCATGATACTATAGAATCATGTTAAAGGTGTAGTGGTGATTGTCTGTGCATGTAATTATCTGTAATGTTGTCTGTCTGTAAATATAATCAACCATAGCAGTCGTTGGTTGTCTATGCATATAATCAACTATCTGTTCCAGCAAGTATTCTTAGATACAAAAGTGTAATCAAAAGACACATACTTCTGAAAAGGAACACCACATTAGCCAATATGCACTTGAGAAGCTTATAGAAGCAAGAAATGACCTCAATGCCTGCACAAAATGGCAACTCTGCTTGGTTCTCTGGCTTTTCAGCATTATCGTTTTTTGTATCAAGGAAAACTGAATAACCAACACAAGTGTACTTGAAATCTGACAAGCTACGGCCTTCTTTTGTAGCTTCCATTTCAGATTCACCGATGATGTAGTTAGGTACTGGTCACAAGAGTACATATTTAGTTGTCAATGAAAAAGGATCAATCTCATGTACATAATATTTCAGATTTCAAGTAAACATCACAAACTCAAGCTTTCCCAACAGATTACCATAGATGAAGCTTAATTTATATAAAAACCTGCAAAATAATTGATGAATTCTTTCTGAGTATGCCAGTAGTAGTAAGTTGTCTCAGGCCAAAGCAATCTACGTTGGCAAAAAAGACAAAAGTTAACTAATCTGTTACGATAATTAAACTTAATTAAAAGGGAGAATTCAAGTCTCTTGCATGAACATGGGTAAAAGAATTGTAACCGGGTTTGAAGAGACATGAGAGCTTACATGATACAGATAACCATGAAGAAGGAAGTTATATGGGCCATAAAAACAAGGAGTCAATAAAAAACTTGATAGGTTACAAAGTGTATTAATGTTGCCATCAAATCAAGTATTATAGCTCTCATCTAAGCCATATAAATAAGTTTGATGTTTCATGATTAAGTAATAAATGAGTGAAAAAAAATTGAGTAAAGACTTAGACGAAGAAATAAAGTTTCTCATTTGCCTCTTCCACCAAAGTTCCCCACCACTCTCTCTCTCTTTCTCCCCTTTTTCTATCAAAGTGAAATAAGAGACAAGTTCAAAATGGCCAATAGCATACAACTCCCAAGTTCTTCACCTCACAAAAGAGAACTACAAGAATTAGAACATTCAAATGAAGCTCTTGTTTCGATCTCAAGACATATGGAAGGTGGTATAGGCTACGATAAACCTCAAGATGATGCTATCTTTACAATGGGCCAAAGGAAAACCTTGAAAGACTTGAGGAAGAAGGACAATAAGTAGCTCTTCCTCATCTACCAAAGGGTAGATGAATGCAACCTTGAGACGATTGCAGCCATGAACACCTCCAAAAATTCCTCAGAGATTCTTCAAAACTCCTTCAAAGGAGTTGAGAATGTGAGAAAAATTCGATTTCAATCACTTAGAGCTGAATTTGAAACTTTGCATATGAATAAGTCCGACACTATTTTATAAGAATGTTCACCATATGAATCAACTAAAAACGAAATAGTGAGAAACTAAAAGATATTCGTGTGACTGTAAAAATTAGCTCGATTATAGCATGAGAAGTTCAACTATATCATAGTCTCTATTCAAGGATCAAAAGATTGAAACCATATGACTATTGATGAGATACTGAGTTTTTTGCAAACACATAAACACTTAGTCAACAAGAGGTGACCGGATGTGGTGGAACAAGTCGGCACAAGTGATTGTGGTCATGGAAAGAGGTTGAGGATGTGGATGTGGAAGAAACCATGGCCAGGGTAAAGAACATGGTCAAGGAGGAAGAGGAAGAAACAATGAGAGAGACCATAGTCTAAAACAAGAAGAAGAATGAGGAGATACATAAGGCCAAAAGTATAATCATTCCAAGATTCAATGTTATTGTTTAAAAATTATGATCAGTAGGCTTTTGAATGTTATTAGAACAAAAACAATTGAAGCTGAGGAAAAAGTTAATTATGTTGAAAAGAAAGAAGAAGATATCCTCTTGTTACTAACATTAAAGAAGAAGTTGTCATGCAAAACAATGATACATGGAAACCGGAGATAGCAATCATTTATATGGAGATAACTGAAAAATCTATGTTCAAAGAGTTGAATGAAACTGTAAAAGGACACGTCTACTTTGAAGACTCCACTATCGGTGAGAGGCAAAGGTAAAATCTTAATCCCCCTCAAAAATAGAAGTCATCGATTTCTTTCAAATGTTTATTGTGTGATAAACATGAATAACAATATCCTTAGCCTTGGACAGCTATGAGAAAATGATTATGATATTCACATTAAAAACAAACAACTTTTTCTAAGATGTGACACAAATCATTTAATTATTCAAATGAAGAGAATAGATTATTCATCTTAACCATTAACCACAATGTGACAAGATGCTTAAGGACTTGTAGGAAAGACTTATCATGGCTATGACATTTTAGGCTTGGACATTTGAACTTCAAATATGGTTAAGTTGGATGGGCAAGAATATCTATTAAGTAAAAGTTTTGGGTATCTTAGGTCAATTACTCAATTATTTAACAAAATAAAGATATTTATAAAAATATTATTCATACAGTAAAGATAGGATGCTTAAAATGACAAGGGGAATCCAGAGTCTCATGTTACCGTCCGGTACCGTTCAGATTAAAATGTAATTTTATAAGATAGTTGTTAAACTAGCAATACTTTAAGAATCTACTTTAAGGATTTGAGCGTTGAACAGTTAAAAAGCAACATCTATAAAAAGTTTGTATTACTGAGTTGAGAATGTTAAGGTGGATGTGCGAAGTTACCAGGAAAGATAAGAAACGAATTGTTTTTATTTATGAACAATTAGATATCACTTCGATAGAAAATATAATGAGGGAAAATTATCTAAGATAGTATGAACATATGCTTAGGAAACCTACAAGTACATTAGTTAGAAAAGGTGAAATGATTACTAACAGTGGTATGAGAAAATGTAGCAGAAGACCTAAAAAGACTTTAATAGAAACTATAAATAAAGATTTAAATACTCTAAACTTAATTAGGAACTTTATGGCTATCCAAATAGTTGAGACTTTACAGCTTTGTTGTTGTACATCTGAACTTTAGAGATCTCAACATGCTATCTACTAAAAAAGCCTCCCACTATACATAATACTCAAGTCAAATAGGTAAAAGGTGTGTTTTTTCCAATTAACGAAGAAGAAGCTTCCACATAAGATAAATATTAAAGTACAGAATCCACTTCCACTAATTCATTCCGATCTTTGTGGTTCTATTAATCCAACACCCTTTGGGAAGCATCACTATTTTCAAATATAAGACAAACTTAGATTTATTTTGTTTGAAATAAAAAAGGGAAAGCCTTTAGTATGCTCAAGAAGCTCAAAACTTTTGTGGAGACTGAACACAGCAATTATATTAAAACCAGCTACTATATTAAAACCATCTGCTCCAGTTGAGGTGGTGATTTCACCTTCAAGCATTTGAAAACTTTTTTTTATGAACATAACAATTAATATTAACTAATTTTGTCATATTCTCTCAAACAAAATGATGTGACGGAGAGAAAGAATCAGACTGTTCTTAACATAGTAAGAAGCATGCTCAAAACCAAAAACATGCCCAAAGTGTTTGTGAAGAAGCGATTGCTTGTGTCGTCTATGTCATAATCTGATGCTCTATATCAAGTTTCGAGAAGAAGACTCTAAGAGGAGCATGGACGAGAAGAAAGATCTTTTTGTGAAAATCTTACAAATTATTTTATCCTAACAATTCAAATGTTGTTATAAGTAGAGATGTGGAGCTTAATTAAGAGCAAGCACCGCTTCCATTTCGTATTCAAAGAAGTAATTATTGTGGGGCTATCTGCATCTGAAGCAGAACATATAATGACATCATCATGTGTATATCACACTATATAGCTAAAAAACTTTTAGAGGAAGTAAATAATACACAACATCAAGCTATAAGGATATATGTTGATAACAAGTCAACTATTGCAATGGCCAAGAATCTTATCTTCCATGAACAAAGTAAGCATATAGATGTTCGCTTTCATTTCATATAAGAAGTAAGCTTATTAGACTATATCACATCCAATGATCAAATTGCAAATATTTTCACCAATCTCCTCAACTCAAAGATATTTCTCAAAATGAAAACATTACTTAGAATGGATGATGAAAGTGAATAAGTATAAAAGGGTGTTGAGAAAAATTAAACTTAATTAAAGGTGAGAATTCAAGTCTCTCTTGTATGAACACATGGGTAAAAGAATCCTAACCTCTAGATTTGAAGAGACATTAGAGGTTACATGATAAAGATGATCATGAAGAAAGAGGCTAAATGGGCTATGATAATAAAAAGTCAATAGAATATTTGATAGGTCAAGATACTAAAGTGTATGAGTGTAGCCATCAAATTCAGTATTGTAACTTTTATCTAAGCTATATAAGTAGGTGAAATATTTCATGATCAAGTAGATATAGTAGAAATAAAGTTAGTCAAAGAAAATGTCCAAGCGTAGAGACTTGTCAAGAAGAAGAAGAAGAAATAAAGTTTCTCACTTGCCTCTTCCACCAAATTTCCCACCACTCTTCCTCTCTATCTCTCTTTTCTTTTCCTATCATAATCAGCCATACATATATTCCCCATGAATATTCTAGTAACTTAAATGGTTTTTTATCTGAAGGGTTCACTTTCCTAATCCCTACTGGTCCATATTTATCATCAAGTGAAATGAACAATTCAATACCAACAACGGTCTTAATCATACTTTTCCTGCTTAAGATTTCCTTCTCATCACAACAAAGCCACCAAGGAATCAGCGGAGGCACATGACTGTATTAACACAGAAGTAACACAACAAACGTTCTCCCAGTTAATGAAGTTGAATCACCCAAAATTCCACCAAAAGTCCACCCCCTTTAGCTGCATGGAAAAGGCACCACTTTGTTCATTAAAAAGGCCACAAAGTTCTCATCTATTCCATGTTATAGTATTAGCAGACAGAAATCCACTGTGGTAACCCGCAAATCGCAGTCATTACAGGCACGGGAAAAAGCATATAAACCTTGGGGAAGCGTCCGGCCGATCCCAACGCCGACCGGGATACGGGCGTCGGATTTGAGGCGCCAGGAGTAGTAGAGGCATCCCTTGCAGGACTTGCCCTTGCAGGTCGAGGCCTTGGGACTGCGCCGTGGATCCCCGTCGGCTCCCAAGGCCGGATCCCTGGAACCGCCTTCGTCAGCTGACTCTGCCATTCGTCCGCCTCGTACGCCGCAATCGATGGATCTTTCGGCCTTAGCCGTCGGCAATGCTTGATCGGACGAAAGCACCACAGCCGCTCTGATCTGGCTTTCGGGAGGAACAGTGAGATTGGCCGTGCGACGGAATCCAAATGTGGCATTTAACGTCTGGGTTGACTCGCGGTGTGAACCAACCCCGTTGAGTTCGCATCCGCGGTGACCCGAGTCTTGTGAGCCGGTATGTAACTCGTCCATGATGCATTGTAGCTGCTGTGGTTTTCTTGGGTTTATATATATATATATATATATATATATATCATAAACTTTTTATATACACACCATAATTAGAAAAATAAATAAAAACAAGCTTATGCTTTTTTTTCTTTTCATTTATAAAAATTACAGGCAACACTCTCTTTACTTATCTTAACAAATAGTGATAACACTCAATAATGATCGTTAATTATGCTATGATAATCTTAAAGGTTTCTTTTATTCAGATATCAATGATTATTCAGATATTATTATTCTTGGATCACTGTGCATCAGCTATTATCAATATTGTTATCATCACAATAAGTTTTTAAAATTTATTGACATAATTTAGGGTTTCAACTAATAATTAACTTATGAAACTAATATATATATATATATATATATATATATATATAGGCGACATCATGTGACTAATCCTTAAGTCTATTTTGATCATATGAGTGTTTAACCTAACAATCTGAAAACTGACCAAATTTATTTCTATGTTGCATGACCTAATCATGACAATTAGTTGTATTGTCTCAACTCCATATGATACCCACTATGTTACAAGTAGTTTGAGGATTTCAAGGTAAAATAGTTGCATGGACAATGAAGACCTATTGTTCCAGGACAACCAACAAGCAGATCAAGGACATTACTGCATGATAGGAAATTGGAATTAGTGCTGACTTTTATTTACTTTTGATAGAGAAAGCATGTCAACTTTCACCATATTTCAACTTATTTTCTTAGTCATTGTCACTGGGGGTTTAAACAGTATGTTATCATTATCATAATAAATGAAAACAACTGGATCTATGTTTAACTCAGATAAGACACTCTACAAAGAAAGGTGAAGTAAATAAAAATTCTCTTCTTCAGATTTCTGATGCAGCTCAAGTAAAGCTTTCAAAGGCTTCCAATTTCCAAAGGTACTGATATATTGTTTCTAATTTCCAAAGGTGGTGGTGTATTGTCTTAAATCATGGTGTTTTTAACTAGTAGGTAAACATAGCTTTCAAAGGCTTACATCTTTCGGAGGCTGTTCCCCTGGCATTTATTAGGCTGATATCTGATGCATAACCTATACTGAAGTCTCAATTAACACTTTTTCTATTATCCTAAGTTAATGTTTATCGCTAGTAGGTAGCAAAAACTTATTGGCACTAAAAAAAAGAGATTTCCTAAGCGAATATCACATGTTTATCTTGTGCAAGCAATTTTTTCTTGAGGTCACTGCTCTACTATATTGTTGTTTGGCATGCATGAATGTCAAGTGCTAAAAGAAAACCCCTCCCCCTATTATGCTAGTATTAAGCCTCCGTAAGGACTGATAAATAAATTTTTGATTGAATGATTACTCAAAAATTTAAGCTTCTAGAAAAGAACTTAATTTACATTAAACTCTAATATCTCTTCTGGTAGGTAAGTTGAACTCGGTTTGACATATTAAATAAAATTTAAGTACATAGTGCAACTAGTGAAATAAGAGAAGTTGGTTGTTGAATATCAAATTTTGATGATGAAATCAATTGATCGATTAATTGATCTAATCCATATTATTGAGTTAAGTGTGCAGGATTAACTACGATAGCCTGAAAACATAAGCAAAGATACCGGAGTCAAGTTCGATGGGTGTTCGAAAGTCCGAAGATTTGTCGAAGATGCTGCCGGAACCAACCGAGAAGAAATCGGGGACTTGTCGGAGTTTCTGGAAGTCTGCCGAAGAAATCGTCGGCGGTTCGCGGAGATCACCGAGAAGGCTAGGCTACTCGCTGAACTCGCCACAAGATCGGGAGCTTACTAGGAGTCCGTGGGAAGAAATCCGAGGGTGTATCGAAAGTCTACCAGAAGATCGTTGGAAAGCTCGTCGGAAGGAGACTCGACGTTTGCCGGTTGAAAACTTGCTTAGGACTATGTTTTCAGTTGCGTAGTTTGTATGTAATTAGGGTTAGGATTAAGGGATAATCCTATATCCTGGTTAAGGGTCAATTGGGCCCGATATTACCTAGTTTGAGCCAGATTTGAAGCCCATCTAGTGACCCGTAGGATCGGGCGGTGGAACCGCCGGATTGGGCAGTGGCACCGCCCAAAGCTCGAGGATCTGGTAGTGGTACTGCCGGACTAGGCGGTGGCACCACCCAGCACCCGAGAGGTCCGACGGTGGCTGTTAAATCTCATATTTTGATGATGAAACCACTTGATATGTGTTTATGATTTAATCTGCGTTTTGAGTGACGCAGGATGCTTCGATCAGGATGAGACAATTAAAGCAGGAAAATCATGTTGTGCCGGAGGAACATGTTAGAAGATTGGACGTCGGGCAGGTGGATCGGTCGATGTATCGACAGAAGGCTTCGGGCCATGGATTCAGGCATCGGGCCAAGAAGAGCGGGTATTGTGCCAAGGATATCGGAGTTGCAGAGTCAACTGGCCGATTGGGCAATAAGCCGCAAGAGAGGACGATGCGCCGAAGAATCGGATGAAGCGTCGAGGGACCAATTACATGCCAGACAACTTGATTAATTGCTTAGGAGTAATTGTCTAGATCGAACTTTTGTTTTACATATGCATGATTAACTATGATGGCTTGAAGACATAAAGCAAGTCTACCGGAGTCAAGTTCGATGGGTGTTCGAGAGTCCGAAGATTCGTTGGAGATGCTACCGGAACCAACCGAGAAGAAATCGGGGACTTGTCGAAGTTTTCAGAAGTTCGCCGAAGAGATCGTCGGAGGTTCGCGGAGATCTCCGAGAAGGCTCGGCTACTCGCTGAACACACTACAAGATCGTGAGCCTACTAGGAGTCCGTCGGAAGAAATCCGAGGGTATATCGGAAGTCCGCCGGAAGATCGCCGGAAAGCTCGCCGGAAGGAGACTCGACGTTTGCCGGTTGAAAACTTGCTTAGGACTATGTTTTCAGTTGCGTAGTTTGCATATAATTAGGGTTAGGATTAAGGGATAATCTGTTGGGAAAATCTTTGGGGGCGACATCACATGCACAATGGAAGAACAAGAAAACAAAATCCCCGATTCCCAAAGAGATGTTCGTTGTCGTGCGAAGATTGGTGCGCAAAATCCACGAAACTGAAAAACTGCGTATAAAATAGATTGTGTTACCTAGGGAGATCGTATATGTCTGTTTCCTTGTAAATCATTAGGAGAGGGTGAAGGAGGTCAAGTGTCCTCCTCTCTAGCAATGATCCACATAGCAGGGCTACGACGACGCTCCTCAAAACTCCAGGCCTGCTCTGAGGTGGAGAGGGGTAGGAGAATAGGAGAGGCAAGCAAAGGCTCTAGCCTATGAGGCTTTGAATCCCCCATATTTATAGAGATCCCCTTTCAAACCCTAATGGATCCTCGTCTATTGGGTATTGGATCTGCATCCAATAACCCAAGTCTTTTAGATTAGTGGATCTCTATCCAATAATCTCTCATGGGCTCTTATTGGATCTCGTCCATGGGATCCAATAATTCAGGGGCTTATTAGATATCCAATAAGATAAGGGCTCCGTCGGATATCTCATATCCGAACCTCTACTCATCGCAATGCCTACCATATGTGTGTGACCCTCTAGGCCCAATATCAAGCTGGCCGTGAGTCATACCTGTCAAAACTCCTTCTAACTCAGTGAATCATTATCTCTGTAATAATTTACTTAACTCATCGACTACGGACGTACTAGGCCACTACGCCGTAGTCCCTAGACGATACAGGGGAATCCAATCCATTGGACCTGTCTGTCCTCAGTTACCATATACCTATAGTCCCTTATCCATCTAATATCCTAGAGACCGTATATCGAGCATGGTGCTGTCAGACCCATACGGTTTCTACTCGAGTCTCGCTCTAATCGGATTCTCTTGGAGAACTCTTTCTCTCTCAACCCGAATGACCCTGGCCAAGGATTTGTCTGAGCAAGAACACATGGGATATTCCTCTCATGACACCGAGAGTGGATGATCCTCTATCGAAACTCAATAGCCCTCGTAAGGTAGACTACCACTCCCAATGACCAACTGTACTAGATCTGGGACAGCCAAACCTATAAGTCTGGTATCAAAGAGTGGAGCACTCATACAAAACATCCTTGGTGTCTCAAGTCTAAGGACTAGATATACCACTAGGACTACGAAATCGCTGTCTGACAATAAGGCATCATAAACCATCCAGCATTCCGTAAGCGGATCAATCAGTGAACTCATTCTCCAATGAGCACTTGTATTGTATCCCTAGTGTCCTTACACGAGCAGCTATGAGACCAACTGCATCCATTATATGGACGGGTATACAGCACACTAGTCTGTCCGGTTATCACGATGTCCCTCTCGAGTAACCTATGACCGGGATTATTTAGGATATGTGTTTAAAGGTGAATCGATCTCATTTTCGTGATCTCATCACGATCCGATTCCCATTGCACAAATCCAAGGATATCACAATATATATATGCATATATGCAATAGTTAATAAAGTGATATAT